GGTTGCTGTAAGCCAGGGGTCCTCAAACTTTTTAAACAAGGGGCCAGTTCACTGTCCCTCAGACCGTTGCAGGGCTGGACTACGGGCCCCAGGATGAGTTGGGTGCTAAGCAGGACAGGTAGCTATGGCAAAAACACCCGGCAGGCCGGATAAATATCCTCTGGGTGGACACCTGTAAGCTGTGATGCCACAATACTCTACCAAGGGCGATAGAGTGAGACTCTATCTCTTAAAAAAAAAAAAAAAAAAGAAAGAAAGAAAAGAAAAGAACACAGTCCAATATAGGGTTTGGTACTATCTGCGATTTATGTATCCATGAAGGTCTTGAAACATTCTTCCCCGCCCCAAGATGTGGGGAGAATCATATAATACAATCTACCTTACCTCCCAATGAGAGGGAAAAAAAGATTTTCTGGCCAACTTAAATATAAAAACTTATGGTGACACATAGACAAAATAATCAAATGCCTATTTATAATGTCCATTATTGTAGTTACATATATACTTGAAGTCATGTACTACATAAAATAATATTTCAAAGTTCGGCTTCTTGCTGGGCAGGGTGGCTCACATTTGTAATCCCAGCACTGTGGGAGGCTGAGGAGGGAGAATTGCTTGAGCTCAGGAGTTCGAGTCTTGCCTAAGCAAGAGTGAGACCCCGACTCCTAAAAAAATGAAAAACCCAGCTGGGCACCACAGCCAGTGCCTGTAATTCCAGCAGTTTCAGGAGGCTGAGGCAGCGGGATGCCCACAGCTTAAGTCTGAGGTTGCAGTGAGGTACGGCGTCATTGCACTCTGCTCAGGGCATAGGGTGGGACTGTGTCTCAAAAATAAAAAGGGGCCTATGGCTCAGTGGGTAGGGCGCCGGCCCCATATACCAAGGGTGGTGGGTTCAAACCTGGCCCCAGTCAAACTGCAACAAAAAATAGCCAGGCATTGTGGCAGGTGACTGTAGTCCTAGCTACTCGGGAGGCTGAGGCAAGAGAATGGCCTAAGCCCAGGAGTTGGAGGTTGCTGTGAGCTATGACACCACAAAGTGAGACTCTGTCTCAAAAAAAAAAAAAAAATTCGGCTTCTTCTCATAGTCAACATATCACAAAACAATTTCATTGAAAATTTTCCAGCGTATCTTTGGCATCTGCCTTGTGTTCACTATAGTAACTGACTAACTTACCAGTTTATTTCAAAGCATTATCACTTCGCTTTTATTTATAAAAGTTGTTTTGAAATACAATACCTTTCTAAATCTTTTTTTTTTCTTTTTTAGAGATAGAGTCTCACTTTATCACCCTCAGTAGAGTGCTGTGGCGTCACAGCTCACAGCAACTTCAAACTCCTGGGCTTAAGTGATTCTCTTGCCTTAGCCTCCCAAGTAGCTGGGACTACAGGCACTCACCACAATGCTCAGCTATTTTTCTTGTTGTTGCCGTTGTTATTGCTGTTTGGCAGGCCCCAGCTGGGATTGAACCTGCCAGCCCTGGTGTATGCAGCTGGTGCCCTAATTGCTGAGCTACAGGCGCCGAGTCCCTCAGTGCCCATTTTTTCATTCTACAGTTGTGTGCTACAGATACAGATTCACAATCTTTACAATGTAAGTACTTAACTAACATTGACCAAACTAGCTTCAGATTTCTATCACTTCCAAATAATCCTTTGTGAGCCTCTGAATGGAGTAAAACAGTGACTTGTTCTTTTCTGAGAGATAATTTTGGGGGACAAAAAGTTAACTCACATCCAGGTAACCAACTAGTCAAAAATTCACAAAGTGCCAGGTGCGGTGGTTCACACCTGTAATCCTAGCACTCTGGGAGGCCAAGGTGGATGGATTGCCTGAGCTCATAGGTTCGAGACTAGCCTGAGCAAGAGTGAAACCCTGTCTCTAAAAATAGCCCGGCTCTGTGGTGGGCACCTGTTGTTCCACCCACTTGGGAGGCTAAGACAAGAGAATCACTTGAGGCTTGGCACCTGTGGCTCAAGTGGCTAAGGTGTCAGCCACATACACCTAAGGTGGCGGGTTCAAATCTAGCCCAGGCCCACCAAACAACAACGACGGCTGCAACCAAAAAATAGCCAGGCATTGTGGTAGATGCCTGTGGTTCAAGCTACTTGGAGGCTGAGGCAGGAGACTCGCTTGAGCCCCGGAGTTAGAGGTTGCTGTGAGCTATGACTTCGTGGTACTCTAGGCTGGGGCAAGAGATTCTGTTACACACACACACACACACACACACACACACATTAACAGGGATCTTCAGAAGTTAAACAAATTTTCTTTCTGAACTAATGATTTAGAACTTTGCTATACTGTTATAAAAGAGAAAGCAGAAAGAGAGGGGTTACTCAATTCTCATGATTTAGTTTTCTTAAATCAACAGTAGTAGTTCCATTAATTTATTGTACTGTGATGGCGCCCGTAGCTCAGTAGGTAAGGCACTAGCGACATACACTGAGGTTGGCAGGTTCGAACCCAGCCCAGGCCAGCTAAAACAATAATAACAATCGCAACAAAAAAATAGCCAGGCAAGGCTCCGCACACAGTAGAGGGCTAGCCACATGCCCTAAGGCTGACCGGTTCGAACCCAGCCCAAGCCTGCTAAACAACAACTATAACCAAAAAATAATAGCCAGCATTGTGGTGTGCACCTGCAGTCCTAGCCACTCAGGAGGCTGAGGCAAGAGAATCACTTAAGGCCAAGAGTTTGAAGTTGCTGTGAGTTGTGATGCCACAGCACCCTACTGAGGGCAAGATAGTGAGACTGTGTCTCAAAAAAAAAAAAGAGAATCGCTTGAGCCCAAGAGTTTGAGGTTGCTGAGAGCTGTGACACCATGAAACTCTACTGAGGGTGACAAGACTCTGTCTCAAAAAAAAAAAAAAAAAAAAATTCACAAAGAACCAGGAACACAATTCTTACTTTAATACATTTCAATTAGCTTAAACACATTTCAATTAATAACACATCACTTATGTTAAAACACACAAATAGCCAGGTACAGTGGTTGATGCCTATGTAATCCTGGAATTCTGGAAGGCCAGGCAGGTGGATTGCTTGAGCTCATAAGTTTCAGACCAGCCTGAGCAAGAAGGAACCCCATCTCTACTAAAAGTAGAAAAACTAGCCGGCCATGGTGTTGGGCACCTATGGTCCCAGCTACTCAGGAGGCTGAGGCAAGAGGATCACTAACCCAGAAATTTGAGGTTGCTGTGAGCTATGACTTCGTGGTACTCTAGGCTGGGGCAAGAGATTCTGTTACACACACACACACACACACACCACAAAGCGAGACTCTGTCTCAAAAAAAAAAAAAAAAAAAAAAGGCGGCACCTGTGGCTCAAAGGAGTAGGGCACCAGCCCCATATGCCATAGGTGGGGGGTTCAATCCCAGGCCCAGCCAAAAACATCAACAACAACAACAAAAAACCTATTGTATTGTTTTGTGGCACTAATCAAACGCCAGGCATTGTAGTAAATATTTACTTCATTTTTTTTTTTTTTTTAAAGACAGTCTCACTATGTCACCCTCGGTAGAGTGATGTGGCGTCAGCTTACAGCAACCTCAAACTCCTGGGCTTAAGCCATTCTCTTGCCTCAGCCTCCCAAGTAGCTGGGACTACAGGCACTTACCACAATGCCTGGCTATTTTTTGTTGCAGTTGTCATTGTTGGTTAGCTGGCTCAGGCTGGGTTCAAACCCACCAACCTCACTGTAGGTGGCTGGCACCATAAACACTGGGCTACAGGCATGGAGCTGCGTTTTAAATATTTTCAATACATTAAATCATTTAATCTTCACAATGCTCCCACAAAATAGGTATTATTGGTAATTCTCTCTTACTGATAAGGAAACCTGGGCACAAAGAGTTAAGAAACTTTCCCCTAATCATAAAGCTTATATGTCATATGTTGGAGTTATTTAAAGAATCTAGTTCTAGCCCCCCCCTCACTTTTAAAAGATATACTGTATTGTCTCTTGGAAAAGATGGTCTCTGTTTTATAGAACAGTCCCATGTATTAGACAGTATCAATGGTCTATGGAAGACACGCTGGTTAAGTTCCAATATATTTTAATTTGTTTTCTATTATCCATCCACCTTGCCTGAAGGCACAACGATGGGTCTGAGAGAAGGGTAGTTAATCCTTTGCATTTATGTTCCCTGAGCTAATCTGACCTCCATTCCTGTGAGTACTTTTAAGGCAAAGGATTCCCCCTACAAGCACAAACATAGCTCCATGTCTTATTCTTCTCCAAACTTTTTAACTGATGAAGAATCTGCCCCCTCTAGGTCTAGATTTCGTCGCTATATAAAACTAACTTTAAATGTTTTCTTTGATAAGGTAACTTTCCTACCCGCTAAAACGATGGTAGCACTTCTTAAGTTGTCATCTGGTTGTGTCCTGTAATGGGGATGGGGGTTGGGAAGCAGATTCCTAAGGAAGAAAGGGAAAAATATGAACTCAAGAATGAGAGAATTAGCAGGGACGGTGCAGCACGCAGGAGGAGGAAGAAGGTGGAGGAAGGCATTCCTGTGTGACTTGGAACTGCATGCAGAAAGAATGAGAACAGAAATTGAGGAGCTTGGGGTCGAGTCATTGAAACCCGCTAAGCAGCATTTTCTTGGATTTCCCTTTAACGCGTCCTAGACACTCGCTTCAGAAGAAACTGAGACCTAAGAGTCCTACTAACGCCCCAGTCGGTCAGGGCTCAGCACGACCATTCATCTCCCCTCTCGGCCAGAGCTAGTCCCCCGAAAGCATCGGTCCCCGCCATCCCTCGCCCGGTTTCTCACACACCGGTCCAGAGGCGGGAGGGACGCCCCGAGCCTGTCGACCCCAAGGCCACAGACCCGCGCTCCGGTCCCGGCGGCAGCCGCCGCTGCTTCCCTTCCGGCCGACAACTCCCAAACACTCCCACGTCTCGCAGCCGAACCTGAACCGAGGCTTTCCCGAAGGCCGAACCGAACCCGGCAATCACGTAGGAAAACCCACGCCGGGGCGAGGGTCTTACCTTTAACAGATTAGACGTCGCCATGTTCCTTCAACTTAGACTCTCGCGAGACGACGCGAGAATTCGTGGCGCTCGCAGCCAGGCCGCCCGCGGAGGCCGCAGTTCCCACCTGGGCCCACGGGCCCCGCGGCCCGCACCGGGGATGTGGTGGGCGCCGCGGCGGCGTGCCGACAGCGCTGGCCTCGTCCCGAGCACCCGGAGCTGCCTCACTCTTTCCCCCTACATGGTCACCGGAGCTTCCCCACGCGAAAGAGCTCATGCAAGCGCTCCGGGAGATGGGAACGGCGAATGGTGAGGAGGTAACTGGAGCCGACCTGACTTGGAAGAGGAAGCATCGGCCCACAGACCTCCCCCACTCGTTCGGATTAGCCCTTGTGGTTGCTTCCGCAGTGCCCACCGGCAACGAATTTAGCTCGGTTCAGGCCTGGCAGCTCAGGGTCCGCGGCCGCGTCACGTGACGCGGAGAGCGGGTACGCGCTCGGGAGCGAGCGTGGGAGCCTGGAAGCCTCGGTGGGTCGGAGCCGGCGGAAAGGACGGACGCGCGCCCTCTACTGGCGAGACCCGGCGTCTCCCCTCACCTCCCCGCGTTAAGGGAGGTAAATGACTTGAAATGCTTAGAACGGTTGTCTTGGATAAGTCCTGGCATGTAGAATGCGCCAGTTAATGCACAGACGTCTTTTATAGGACACGTTTCTATTCAAAATTTCCTGGCATTTAGCTATTCCATAAAATATTGTTCAGAGAATGAATATTAATCGTTAATTTCCCAAAAAGCACATTATCCTAGAACATCCTAATAAGGCTGCAAGTTTTATCCCGTTAGACCACAAACCACTGGCCAAGAGAAGAGAATATAATTTATGTGTCGATTTACAGGATAGCGGGCAGGCATGCATTATGATGCTTACAGTATTCGTGCATTCATAAATATGTACAAATAAATAAGTTGGGTTTAAAATAAAGCCCAGAAGAAGAATGACCCCACTTAAAGAATCCAATTAAGGAGGTAATAATTTGAGCGCTTTTTCATACTAGGCACTGAAAATACAGGTGAAATAAAAGAGGAGACTCTTGCCCTTTTGGAGCTTGTGATCTAATAAAAGTCAAATTACTTAATTCAGTGATAAATACTGCAAAGAAAAATCCAGTGTGTGTATGATGGGGAAAGGGAGTTAATATCCTAATTTCCATCCATATAAGCCACACATCCCTTACAAATGGAACTTTAAAACTGAACCTCTTAACTATTTTTGAGAACTCAATTTCAATATCCTACTGTCTAATCCAAACATTCTATTCTCCTAACTTGCTTGGTCCTATAATAAATACCACTGTGAAGAATCTGACTTCAGGCCCAGCACCTGTGACTCAATGGTTAGGTCACTGACCACATGCCCTGGGGCTGGTGAGTTTGCACCTGGCCCAGCCAAATTACAACAACAACAAAAAAAGCTGGTCATTGTGGCAGGCCCCTGTAGTCCCAGATGGCTTGAGCCCAGGAGTTTGAAGTTGATGTGAGCTGTGACACCACAACACTCTACCAAGGGTGACATGGTGAGACTTTGTCTGAAAAAAAAAAAAAAGATTCTGACTTCAATTAGTTCGCCATTCCATTGACCCCTTGTTAACTAACATCTCCTCCTGTTTTTCGCTTTACTTTCTCATAAAGTTAGATTCAGTAGCTCGTTAGAAAACTGCTTACGGCTCTGCGCCTATGGCTCAAGTAGCTAAGGCGCCAGCCACATACACCTAAGGTGGTGGGTTCGAATCCAGCCCGGCCCACCAAACAACAATGACGGCTGCAACCAAAAAATAGCCAGGCGTTGTGGCGGGCGCCTGTGGTCCCAGCTACTTGGGAGGCTGAGGCAGAGACTTGCTTGAGCCCAGGAGTTGGAGGTTGCTGTGAGCTGTGATGCCACAGCACTCTACCCAGGGGGACAGCTTGAGGCTCTGTCTCCAAAAATAAAAAGAAAAGAAAACTGCTTGCATGCTTAAGCACATAGTACAAAATTCAGAAGATGGCTGAGTGTCTGTAGCTCAGCTGCTCGGGCACCAGCCACATACACTGGAGCTGGTGGGTTCGAACCCAGACCAGGCGTATTAAACAACAATTTAAACAACAATGACAACTATAACCAGAAAATAGCCTGACATTGTGGTGGGCACCTGTAGTCCCAGCTACTTGGGAGGCTGAGGCAAGAGAATCACGTAAGCGCAGGGGTTGGAGGTTGCTGTGAGCTGTAACGCCATGGCACTCTACCAAGGGCAACATAATGAAATTCTGTCTCAAAAAAAAAAAATCAAAATTCAGAAGATGATAAATACAATCAAAAGTAGGCCTTCCACTTTCTGGGGTGATGTAAGGCTCTGTATTGTGGTAGAGTTATTCAGCTGTATATATTTATCAAAACTCAGCAAGTATACACTTAAGATTTATGCATTGTGGGCAGCGCCTGTGGCTCAGTGAGTAGGGCACCGGCCACATATACCAAGGGTGACGGGTTCAAACCCGGCTCCAGCCAAATTGCAACAACAACAACAACAAAAAAATAGATGGGTGTTGTGGTGGGCACCTGTAGTCCCAGCTACTTGGTAGCAAGAGAATCACCTAAGCCCAGGAGCTGGAGGTTGCTATGAGCTGTGTGACGCCACGGCAATCTACCAAGGGCAATAAAGTGAGACTCTGTCTCTACAAAAAATAAAAGAGATTTATGCATTGAATTCAAAAGAAAAAGTAGGCAGAGCATGGTGACTCACACCTGTAATTTCAGTACTTTGGGAGTCTAAGGTGGAAGAATTGCTTGAGGCCAGGTGTTTAAGACTATCTTGGGCAACATAACGACCGCCCATCTCTACTAAAAAAATAAAATGAAAAAATAATAAAATCTGAGGCCGGGCATGGTGGCTCACACCTGTAATCCTAGCACTTGGGAGGCAGAGGCAGGTAGATTGCCTGAGCTCACGGGTTCAAGACCAGCCTGAGCCAGACTGAGACCCCCCCATCTCTAAAAACAGCAGGGCATTGTGGCAACCGCCTGTAGTCCCAGCTACTCAGGAGGCTGAGGCAAGAGAATTGCTTGAGTCCAAGAGTTTGAGGTTGCTGTGAGCTGTGACACAAAGAGGGTGACAAAGTAAGACTCTGTCTAAAAATAAACAAAATTGAAGCTTAGTTAATGATACTCATGCTGAAAAATTTAGGAGTAAATAAAGTTATATTTATAATTTATTTTAAAGTATGGCTATATCAAAAAATAACATGGATGGTAGTTGGATGGAACCATTAATAAAGCAAGTACAGTGTGATGTTAATGATGGAATCTAGGGAGTGGTCATACTAGTGTTCCTTAAAATACTTTCAACTTGCTCATGTTTGGGCAAGGTCTTGCTTTTTTCTTTTTTAAGACAGGGTCTTGCTCTGTTAACCAGCCTAGAGTGCAGTAGCAACATTATAGCTCACTGCAACCACCAAAATAGGCTCTTAGGTCCAT